AACCCACTGTGGGCTGGAGCCAGGCCAGACTCCTGGCTGGAGGCTGGGGCTCACCTGGACCCAGCCTCCTCTGCCACGGGGCTTCCTTCTCTGTAGCTGAGTCTCTGGGTGTGGCTGACACGGGCCCCCAAGACCTCTTCCCCAAAGACTTCCAGCCTTGCCTTCATAGTTTCAACATCCTTCAAGTGTCTTCTGATCCTATGTTTTAAATGTAATCGTCTCCTCTTTTCTCTTTTATTAGAAAAAATATTTTATCTCTAGATTGTGAGCTCCTTAAAATTAGAGATGAAAAACTTTCCTCTAAATTGTGAAAAACTTTAAAGCTATAGAACAGGTGCAAGATAAATGTAATGAACATTCCTATACTCTTCACCTAGATTTACCACTTGTTACTATTTTGCAACATTTTGTCTTTTTCTTTATATACATATGCACATGTGTTACACATAATATTTATATGCTGTATATGCATTATATATGTGCATGTGTATGTATACACACACATCCTTTATGCCAAAACTGTCTGATAGTTGTACACATCATGGCAGTTTAGCCCTGAATATAGTAGGTATTCTCCTACATAATTGCAATATAATGACAGTTTTCAGGAGTTGAACATTGTTTCAATGTTATGATCTAATACAATGTTTCTATGTTTTTTTTTTTTTTTAGAAATGCCTTGAATCCACTCTTTTACCTATTCCTTCCTAACCAGCACCACTCAGAATTGAGCACAGATGACATACACAGGGGTCCCTAAATAAATGTTAGTTGAATGAATGAAGACAGGGGTGAATGAATCAAAAGTCCTTTCAATGTGTCTTTGGACTTGAAAAAGTGTGCGACTGTGCACAGCTCATGAACTCCATGTGGGAATTACACAACCTTCAAAACTCTTATTGATCTTGGCAAAAACCCTACACCTGCCAGGATACATATTTTGCAACTGCGTTTTTTTGTTTTGTTTTTTTTTGTTCATTAGCTGGGTGATATTTAAGTTGCTGATGCTTAGAGGGAGGATCTGGAAGTCGGCAAACCTGTTCAAAGTGAAACATATCAGCATCTCTGTGAATCACCCCTCATACATCCTACCGGCACCCTGACTCTAACACCACTTTCAGCTACTGAGAAGGTAAATGAGCAAAGGTAAATGAGCACCGTCAAATAGAAAGCAGAAGGAGGACGCGGCTCCGCGTTGCAGGATTTCACATCCGACACCAGGAAAGGGCAGAGCTTCTGCTGTGATGGCACGCGTGGTATGAGCGGTGATCGGCCAAAAAGAGGCTTTTGTGGAAATTATTGACAGCACATCCATCGCCATGGGGCACAGCGTTCCATGCAGCAGACTTTCCTCTCTTACATTTGAGGGAAATTGTCTACTCTTATTTGGTATCAAATAGGCCCAGCAAAAAACACTACTTAAAGAGTGCCCTTTCCACAAGAGAATGGGTATGAGGTGGGGGCAGTGTACATGACAGGTGCCCCCGTCCTGGCTGTCCCCCCTCATGAGGCATCTGTGGCAAGGACATCCTCACTAGGGCAGTAGGTAGACAGAATTCAAAATCATGCCTACGTTCCATCGGAACTTAAGGCAGCTGAGCTTCAGTCTCTCCGTTCTGACAGTTTCTAATTTTGCTTTCCGCCCCCCCCCTTCCTATGTGTCCTTCTAAGCCTGCAGGCACCCCAAATTCTACATAAAATCTCAGCAGCAAGTTATCATTAAATATGTTCTGTGGGCCCGCTCAGTCGTGTCCAGCTCTTTGTGACCCCATGGACTGTGGCCCGCCAGGCTCCTCTGTCTGGGATTCTCCAGGCAAGAATACTGCAGTGGGTTGCCATGCCCTCCTCCAGGGGATCTTCCTGACCCGGGGATCGAACCTGCATCTCCCACATTGTGGGCAGACGCTTTACCATCTGAGCCACCAGGGAAGTCATAAACAAGGGGAGCCGGGTTCTAATTGCATCTGATAGACTTTAGACGAATATTATTGCACGTCAGAAACTCAAAGCTGTGAAGGAGATTCTCTTTTTCATTTCGGTCTCCTGTCCTGACCAATTTGTTTGAAAGACTAAAATTTTACTCTGGAGGGTGGAGGATGAATCTGGGAACCCAGCTCTGCTCCCAGCACTCTTCCACCCTGCGCCCAGCGTCTCTGTGCTTTGCCATCCACCCAGCGCTGCCCACGTGATGTGATGAAAGAAAGCCTCACTATTCCACATCTGGACCGTCTCTTGGTGCTCGGTTCAGGGACCCAAGTCCCCTGCTCTCTTTCAGGAACGAGCTGGCTCCCAGACAATTGCCTAGTGTCCAGGCAGGGGCCACGTTCTTTCCAGAGGACATCTGATGTGAAGAGATCATTGTTCATTACATCAGGGGAGGTGATCTGCTAGCTCTGGGCAGGTGCTCCAATTGTGTTTGGTTTGCAAACTATAGATTTTCTTTGCTATGTGTTTCCTTCACACAGATTCTCTTTGTCTAAATTCACAGTACTACCTCTTGTTCAATCGTCCTTCAAATATCACCCTGAACAGCAATGGTGGTGGTGGGCTCACAGAAATACCCAGATAGTTCTTCCTTATTATATCAGTGAATAATTTCCTACAGGATATAAAAGACACTGACAACATGAATATTAGTATCTATTAGTTTGGTGGTAGAGTTATTGTTAAAATGGTGGAATTTAAAATGGGACATACTTTGGTTATTTTATAAACTGCATTACTTTGCCTTTATCTATGAAGCCCAGTGATCGATTTCTTAAAGGAAGTGACAAAACTTATCCAAAACCTTGGATAAGTTAAACGACAACCAGTGAAACTGTCAACTACTTGGATGAAAGCCGTATTGTGTTATCCCCAGTGTGGAGGGGCAATACTGAAATTAGATAAAAGCTTTGTTGTTGTTTACTTGCTAAGCTGTGTCTGACTCTGCAGTCTCCATGGACTGTAGCCCACCAGGCTCCTCTGTCCATGGATTTCCTAGGCAAGAATACTGGAGTGGGTTGCCACTTTCTACTCCAGGGGATCTTCCCGACCCAGGGATCAAACCCATGTCTCCTGCATTGCAGGTGGATTCTTTACTACTGAACCACCAGGGAAGCCAAGATAAGTTAGGGATGGGAAATTGTTGACAACATCAGCTGGTGTCTTTGGGAAACTCAGTCTCTGCTCACTGGTCTTTCACATTTTTGCTTTAGTGCACCCACAGGGAGTCACAATGTGGGATTTTGATGTATTTTTAAAAATCTGAGTTAGAGCCAGTGGACTGAACTTGATTAATTGAATGAGCAAAAAAATCCTGCAGCATAAACTGTTCTCCACCTGGAATGCTCCACTCATGTTGAGGTTAAGGATACAGATTAAACAAATTTCTGCATCCCTGAAGAAAGGGCTGTTCAGAAAAGAGGCCTAGAACCCCAGGCTCAGGCTCCAAGGAGGCCACTTGCCAGCTGGGTGACCTTGAGCAAGTCAGTTTCTTCAAGGGTCTCTCTCTTCCTGGGTCAGATGAAGTCAGCTCATTCAGAGGGCTAGAAGAGAAAAGCAAAATGAGATTGTGCCTTTGGTATTCTTAAGACTGCACCCGGGGAATATACATGTTTGCTATTAGTACTACTAACTCTAAGCAGATGTTGTTGCTGTTTTAAAGTAAGAGGTACATTCACAAAGGTATGTGTGGGTCTTCCCATTAAAAAAAGTAAGGAAGAACCAGGAAGGTCTCAAAACCTGCTTCCTCAGAGTGAAGAGAAGACCCATTTCCTTGTTCTGTGATCTCTGTACAGTTTTGAGAGCAGGGTCTTACAGCTTATGCATTTGATTCTGTTTCTGGCCTGCCTACATTAGAACGCAAGACAAGACTTAAGACATACAGATATTTATTTTCCTCTGGGGAAAATGTACCCATTGACCCAAGCAGTCACTCAAGACACATTTATTAACACCTGATCAGTAACAGGTATGAACATACTATTTAAAAAAGAAAAAAAATTTTTTTTTTATTTTGCATTGGGGTATAGCCGAAAAAAAATTTTTTTTTTATTTTGCATTGGGGTATAGCCAATTATCAATGTTGTCACAGTTTCAGGTAAACAGTGAAGGACTCAGTCATATATAAACATGTATCCATTCTCTCCCCAAACTCCCCTCCCATCCAAGCTGCCACAGAACATTGAGCCGAGCTCCACGTACCGTCAAACCCACTCATATCTGAAAGCAAAAGCTATGTCGCTGCATTAATTTTATATCAAGTCAGAATCATAGCAAACCTGCTGTCTGCGAATGTCTTCAAGAGGGTCACATGGTGGCAAGTGGTGTACCAGAGATCATCCAGTTGTGAGCAACTGGAGCAACTGATTTCTTTAGGGTGGAGAATTCCAAAATGCTAACCTCCGACCCTGGCTTCCTTGGGTTTGTGCATCTTGTCTGTTCCCTTGGGCGTGTGCTCCTGGGCTCCAGGCTACAAAGGACTCTCCTTTACATTCGAGGCTCCTGCACAGTGCCTGGTAGAGAGTGGCCTGAAGCAAAGCTAAATTAAAGGAATAAAGAAGAAGGAAAAGCAAGAAGGGAACAGGGAGATGGGGTAACAAAAGGAGATGGGGGGAAATTTTACCCTCAGGTTTGGTTGTTGATCAAATTGTTACATTAGAGATGTAACGAGTTGTAACCAATTGTTACAACACAAAGCCCTGCAAGTGAAGGATGTTTCTCCTTTTGCTGGATTCCAGAAGAACACATCTAAAGGAACAGGTTAGAGGCGCCCGAGTCAGAAGGGGCATGGGGGCGAACGTGTGCACATCCAGCAAGAAGTCGGCAGGGCCTCTTCCAAGAAGATGGTGGAGAGTGACATTGTCCACCAGGGGATGGGGAGCAAGCGAGGCATCGCTGCTGACACCTGGTTCAATCCCAGTCCCCAGGATATGGTAAAGGGGACTATGTCACTGAAGTTACCCCTTTAAAATCCCTTACGAGAGGATGGCCATTCTGGAGACCACTGGATTCCTCAGTTAAGTCCAATACAACGATGCTTCTTCCAGGGCTGAAATAAAAGACTGCTTATCAGTCTGAGGACCAGCTGAGTAGCTGATTTGGGTTTTTCGGGCTGCGTTGTTTAAAAGTAACACAATATAATCTCTCTCTCTCTCTCTCTCACACACACACACAGGCCAGAAGTAAGAATAGCAAGAGGGCAGATTCACCGGTCTTTTGCCACACCCACACCTCCTGAATGCAGGGACAGAGGGAGTGGCCTGAACTATGTACCCTTCCATCTCCTCATGCTCCTTGAAAGCGTTAAAGCTCAGTTGCATCTGACTCTTTGCGACCCCATGGATGGTAGCCCGCCAGGCTCCTTTCTCCATGGGATTCTCCAGGCAAGAATACTGGAGTGGGTTGCCATGCCCTCCTCCAGGGGATCTTCCCGGCCCAGGGATCAAACCCGGGTCTCCTGCACCGCAGGCAGAGTCTTTACCACCTGAGCCACCGGGGAAGCCCTCTCAAGCTCCTTAGCCAAGTGTAAACAGTCGATCTGGAGTCAGGTAACAGCTCACGTCCATCTGCGGATGCCCCACTGAGGGAAGCTCGGGAGCTGAGTTTGGGTTTATGCCCAAAAAAGAACCTTGCTCATCCTGGCTGACTGAGGCTTTATTTCAACATTTCAAATGGGATGGGAGATACAGCTCCGTAAGAAGGCGCACTGACAACAGGAAATTCTGTAGACATTTGCCACCTTGTTGAAACGTGATGCACTTTTAAATAACAAAAACAGCAGTCCAGTTGGTATCGTGAAAACAGTGTAGGAAAAAAGGTCATGTGGCTGAATTTTGCACCCAAGACATCATTTGTACCTGAAATCATGATTTGCTACAAAAAATTTAGAGTATCTGACAGAATATTTTTAGTTAAATAACATGCTCTGTCCTTTGCAGAGAGTCTTGAGAGCAATCAGAAACTTCCCAAACGAGCTGTGACAGAGTTGAGAAACTAAAAACCTGGGCGGGGAAAGCAGGAGTCCAGACTTGGTTATGTTGTTTTGGAGAAATTGCGCTTTTATTTTAGGTGAACGTGGATCTTCATGACCATACCAGACAGCATTGGCCCTCTTCATCCACAGGCAGCAGACAGCATGTGGTGGGGGATTGGGGTGGGGGTCGGTGAGCTTTTCCTGAATTGCTTTAATGGCACGATTGCCCCTGCTCTGAGGCCATGGCTCCTGTGGCTAAGAGCTCTTCCCAGTCCCCACCGCCCCCGCCCCCCCCGAGAACTGGTAGTTTCTCCAAAAATGGCCTTGCAGGAGCACGTCTCTCCTCAAGAATCACATTGCTGTGACCAGGTGATATCAGCCAGACAGAACAGTCTGTTGCCATGCGTGCATGCTAAGGAGAAGGGAACCCCAGAGGATGAGATGGTTGGATGGAATCACTGAACTCCATGGACAGGAGTTTGAGCAAACTCCAGGAAATAATGAAGGACAGGGAAGCCCGGCATGTTGCAGTCCATGCAATTGCAGTTGCAATGGCTTAGAAACTGAACAACAACACGTGTGCTAAGTCACTTCAGTCATGTCCAGCTCTTTGTGACCCTGTGGACTGTATCCTGCCAGGCTCCTCTATCCATGAGGTTCTCCAGGCAAGAATACTGGAATGGGTTGCCATGCCCTCTTCCAGGGGATCTTCCCAACCCGGGGATCAAATCCCTGCCTCTTAGGTCTTCTGCATTGGCAGGAGGGTTCTTTTCCTCTAGCGCTATCTGGGAAGCCCATTTGTCTGGATCAGTTCAGTTCAGTCATTCAGTTGTGTCTGACGCTTTGTGACCCCTTGGACTGCAGCACGCCAGGCTTCCCCATCCATCACCAACTCCTGGAGCTTGCTCAAACTCATGTCCATTAAGTTGGTGATGCCATCCAGCCATCTCATCCTCCGTCACCCTCTTCTCCTCCTGTTTTCAATCTTTCCCAGCATCACTCATGCAAGCTAAGTGGCTTCAGTCATGTCCAACTCTTTGCGACCCCATGGACTGTAGCCTGCCAGGCTCCCCTGTCCGTGGGATTCTCCAGGCAAGAATACTGGAGTGGGTTATTGTTCTCTTCTCCAGGGGATCTTCCTGACCCAGGGATCAAATCCGTGTGTCCTGAAGCTCCTGCATTGCAGGCAAATTCTTTACCACTTAGCCACCAAGGAAGCTCCAACAGCGCCTTTTCAAATGAGTCAGTTTGTCCCATCAGGTGGCCAAAGTATTGGAGTTTCAGTTTCAGCATCAGTCCTTCCAATGAACACCCAGGACTGATTTCCTTTAGGATGGACTGGTTGGATCTCTTTCCAGTCCAAGGGACTCTCAAGAGTCTTCTCTAACACCACAGTTCAAAAGCGTCAATTCTTTGGTGCTCAGCTTTCTTTATGGGCCAACTCTCACATCTGTACATGACTCCTGGAAAAACCATAGCTTTGACTAAACGGACCTTTGTTGGCAAAGTAATGTCTCTGCTTTTTAATATGCTGTCTAGGTTTGTCATAACTTTTCTTGCAAGGAGCAAGCATCTTTTAATTTCATGGCTGTAGTCACCATCCACAGGGATTTTGGATGAAACGTTCCCTTGGTATCTCGAATTTTCTTGAAGAGATCTCTAGTCTTTCCATTCTATTGTTTTCCTCTATTTCTTTGTATTGATCACTTAGGAAAGCTTTCTTATCTCTCCTTGCTATTCTTTGGAACTCTGCATTCAGATGGATATATCTTTCCTTTTCTCCTTTGCCTTTCAGTTCTCTTCTTTTCACAGCTATTTGTAAGGCCTCCTCAGACAACCATTTTGCCTTTTTGCATTTCTTTTCCTTAGGGATGGTCTTGATCCCTGTCTCTTGCACAATGTCACAAACCTCCGTCCACAGTTCTTCAGGCACTCTGTCTATCATATCTAATCTGCTGAATCTATCTCTCACTTCCACTGTATAATTGTAAGGGATTTGATTCAGGTCATACCTGAATGGTCTAGTGGTTTTCCCTACTTTCTTCAATTGAAGTCTGAATTTGGCAATAAGGAGTTCATGATCTGAGCCACAATCAGGTCCTGGTCTTGTTTTTGCTGGCTGTATAGAGCTTCTCCATCTGTGGCTGCAAAGAATATAATTAACCTGATTTCGGTGTTGACCATCTGGTGATGTCCATGTGTAGACTTGTCTCTTTCGTCGTTGGAAGAGGGTCTGGATACACACTTCCATTTCTTTGGATGCATGCTTTTGTTTGTCTGGATGTGCTGTGCTTAGTCACTCTTATGACCCCATTGTCTGTAGTCTGCCAGGCTCCTGTGTCCATGGGGTGCTCCAGGCAAGAATAGTGGAGTGGGTTGCCATTTCCTTCTCCATTTGTCTGCATACATGCTTTTGGTTCTTTATAATGTGGTTGGTCATCTTCCCTTGAGGCATGTGGCTGAAAAGGAGAGTGGAAAACCCAAGAAAATCGAAGTCTCTTGGGCAAAAGAGGATGGACTGTGGATGGACTGTGGATGCTGGCAAATAGCCGATAGTGGTCACTGCAACGTTTCTTCTTTTAAAAAGGATTTAACTTCATGAACATGCCTGTTATGTTCCACTCATGAGTCATGCTCTTTACCAGGTTTAGAAAGCATCCTGCAATTTCTAGTTAAATGCTGTTCAATGATAATGAACATTCATTTTATCAAATGTCCTTTGACACCAAATGTGATTACTTTTTCTTATAAATTTTGCTATAGTATAATATGCTAAACTTACAGATTTCTCAGTACTAATAGAGCGTCAAATTAATGAGATTAAAAACTGATTGGTTGTTGTGGGTATGTCTCAATTTGTTGTTAAAATGGTATTTATGATTCTTTAAAATGTTCATATCTAAGTTGTAATTGGTATGTAGGGATTCAGTTCTCGGGACCACATGCAGATAATTTAGCTCATATGCCCATAGCAGGATAAACCACTAGTAACTACAACTAATGGAGAAGGAAATGTCAACCCACTCCAGTATTTTTGCCTGGGAAATCCCATGGACAGAGGAGCCTGGTGGGCTACAGTCCAATGGGTCACAAAGAGTCAGACACAACTGAAGCGACTTAGCATGCAAGCATGCACACAACTACAACTAATGAGTATTAATGAGCAAGGCAACCAGGAAAGGAAATTCAGCAATGGACGGAGGTCTTGTGGCCTGAGAACCTACACAGACTTGTCCACTAAAGAGGAAGCAGGAAGCCCTCGGGTACCATTACCTGGTCTGCATGATGAACCAGCCCTCCGCTGTCCGGGTCATGGTTAACTCACCCATCAGACCCATTCAGACACCTTCAAGTGAACAGAAGACCATCCAGTTGTAACAGAACCTTGAACAGGGCCGGCTTCTCTACCATCAGGGTCTCCTCACGTGGGCCGCGCTGGGTCACCTGCTCTTCACAAGAGCCCCAGGACCTCACACAAGGCTGGTCTCTGGGCTAAGGTTTCTGCGGGCTTCTCTCTTTACGCTGGTGGCTCAGATGGTCAAGAATCTGCCCACCATGCGGGAGAGCTGGGTTCAATCCCTGGGTTGGGAAGATCCCTTGGGAATCGTTACCCACGCTAGTATTCTTGCCTGGAAAATTCCATGGACAAAGGAGCCTGCTGGGCTAGAGTCCACGGGGTTGCAAAGAGTTCGACACAACTGCGTGGCTAACACTTTCACTTTCTCTTTAAGTAACGACTTTGGTTTTTCAATGAATACGATGTCTCCTTGTTATAAAACATTTTAATTACTCAGCCATTAAAAAGAATTCATTTGAATCAGTTCTAATGAGATGGATGAAACTGGAACCCGTTATACAGAGCGAAGTAAGCCAGAAAGATAAAGACCATTACAGTATACTAACACATATATATGGAATTTAGAAAGATGGTAACGATAACCCTATGTGCAAAACAGAAAAAGAGACTCCTATGTATAGAACAGACTTGTGGACTCTGGGAGAAGGTGAGGGTGGGATGTTTCAAGAGAACAGCATTGAAACACGTATATTATCTAGGGTGAAACAGTTCACCAGCCCAGGTTGGGTGCATGAGACAAGTGCTCGGGCCTGGTGCACTGGGAAGACCCAGAGGGATGGGTGGAGAGGGAGGTGGGAGGGGGGACCGGGATGGGGAATACATGTAAAAAAAAAAAAAAAAGGATACACTATGGTTGTGATAAAAAAAAAATAAATTAATTAATTAATAAATTAAAAAAAAAAAACTACTAGAGAAAAGCACAAAGAAGAAGAGAAAAATCACCCTACATCTCACCACCCACAAATGCCAGCATCACTTCTGGTGTATGCCTCACTCCAGCCATCAGTCTCTGTGAAACCTACCGATGGAAGGATCCTTGG